AGAATTCAGGTTTCTCAGGTAATGGGCAGGGCCATAAAGCTCCCAAGGGTTTATGTGTTTGTGTTCAGCTACCATGGTGGGTAGAGAAAGACCATTAGGTAGGGTCTGGGTTAGAGGGGTCTGAGCTTAGACTCTCCTTGGGTAGGGCTTGTCATGGGCACTGTAGGGACTATTCTCAAGCCCCTAGGGTTATGTTTTAGAAGGGAGTGTGGCTACCTCTGTTGAGCAGTATGGTTCACCATGGAAGTGAGGGATAGCTGATAGTGAAAGGTTTTACCCAGCTCCCACACAGTTGGTGAGGCCAGTCTCACTCCTGCAGTGCCTCACTAATAGCACTGAGTTTAGAACCATGCAGCCTATGCATGAAACTCAGACCTGCCCCAGGCCGTAAGCTTCCCCACCGAGAATGCAAGCATAAATTTCAGGCCTACTTGTCTGCTTGCAATGCTGGCAGCTCCTGCACTTGTATCTGAAGCCATTCCCTTTAATCCCCAGGATTCTTCCTGAAGGAGTTAATGCCCACTCAAAATTATAACAAAATTCAGTTGGAAGTTTCTTTCACCCTGTGACCCTTCCCTAATTTTGCTGGCTCCCTTCCCTGAGGGTCCCTGTGAGATATGGTCAGGAATGGCTTCCCTGGGTTCAAGCTGGAGTCTGGGAGTTCCTACATGCTCTTCCCACTGTGGTCTCTAGTTTTATATTTCACATGGCTCCCTAAATCTGTTCCAGGTTTAGGTAACATTAAATCCTTCTCTCATGATCTGGATTTTTGGATTCTGTAGTAGGGGTGTGTATTTGGAGGCCGGTTTTACCACTCTCACACTTTGGGAACTCATAGCTTTTCACCTGTCTTGTGGTGTTTGCAGCAACATGCTGTTTTTTTTTTTTTTTTTCAAAGAATCTTTGAATTCTTCTTTTTTTTTTTTTTTTTCTGGTACATTTCTGTGGGGGTTCTTGAAACAAAACTGTAGTGTAGCTTTAAAGTGTGGTTGTTTGGTTATTTTTCTGGGGAGAAGATCCATGGAGCTCCTCATAGTGCCATTCATGTCACCCAATTTCCTAACTGTATACTCTGCTGCCTTTTGGGGTTGGGGGAAAATAAAATTTTACTTTTTTTTTCTTAATGAGAATTTAAAGGTGGAATAATTTTTGATGTATTCAGGATTTGAGTGAACAACTATGGAAATTCTGATTGTAATAGAAATATTAAAAGGATTATTCCTTTTAAAATTCCTTTTCTATAAATGTTTTTCTATGCTCCATCTTAAGCTATAAAATTTTAACACACAAAGCACTTAATTTGTCTTAACTGAATTAGTTGGATGTTTACTGTATCAGGACTGGGATTTGTTACAGGTCAGAATACCCAAGCTAATAGTGATTTAAACATGACAGAATTTACTTTCTCATGTAAATGAAGTAAGATGATAAGCATTCTAGGTCTGGTATAGAAGGTCTACCACTATTCAGGAAATATTCTCCTGTGTTTTCAACCATTCACTTCTACTTCATAGTTCAAAAAAGCTGTTCCACTCTAGCCATCACAAATAGTTTTTTAAAATATTTGATCAGTTTTACTGTGATAACATTTACATAGAATAAGATTCACCAATTTTAAATGTATAATTCTGTGAATTTTGACAAGTGTATAACATTGCATCACAAATAATTTGTAGCCAGCTGGAAGAAGGAAGTGGTGGGAGGACACTTTTATTCTCATCCTGTTGGACAGGACTTAGTCATGAGTCCATACCTACCTGCAAAAGAATCTGGAAAATATAGTCTTTCCTTAAAATGGCCATGTCTCCAGCTAGTAACTTAAGGTTCTATTTCTAAGAAGAAAGTGAAGAAAGGATACTGAGGAAGAAGTAAACTCTACCACAGTCAGTAATCAATTATTTGAATTGCTGACTTTTTTTCCTGAATTTATTCTTATCAGTCTATTAAGACAAAGCACCCATTTAATGTTTTTTCCAACTTTTAAGTTCAGGGATACATGTGCAGGATGTTCAGGTTTGTTAAATAGGTAAATGTGTGCCATGGTGGTTTGCTGCACAGATCATTCCATCACTCAGATATTAATTTCAGCATCTACCAGCTATTTTTCCTGATCCTCTCTTTCCTCCTACCCCCTGCCCCCTGGCAGGCCCTAGTGTGTGTTCCCCCTCCATGTGTCCATGTGTTCTCATCATTTAGCTCCCACTTAAAGTGAGAACACACAGTATTTGGTTTTCTGTTCCTATATTAGTTTGCTAAGGAGAGTGGCCCCCAGCTCCATCCATGTCCCTGCAGAGTACATGACCTAATTTCTTTTTAGGGCTGCATAGTACTCCAGTAGAACACCCGTTTTCTATGGAATGTAAAAATCCATTTCCCCCACCTTTAGACAGAACACAAGTTTAGTATTGAGATTCTTTATACCATTTTATGAAAAATAGAATAGTTAATGACTTTAATTTTTAAAGGGTGGTGACATTCAGAAATATACCAGAGAGTGTTGCTGGATTAACCAGCAGCTAGCATATATTTATTTTGTACCAAGTAATTACCTGGTTCCATAATAAGTGTACATATATGTTAGAGGAATTAGATTAATATGAATGAAATGACTACAGAAAAATAAAAATTATATTTCCTTGGCATTTACCATGTATTACCTCATTTTATAGCTGTTTGTGTATCCTGTATCTTGTCTCTAAACTCTGACTGTTAAGGCCTCACAAGATTCATCATCTTGATCTCCTCACCATCCAGCATATTGTTTCATACATAGAAGGTGCTCTGTATGTGATCAAATGAAGGAACAAACCAATGAACTATAATTTAGTATGTCAAGTCAAAATGTAGGAATCCTTTCTAAGTCCTCCTTTTCTTAACCCTTAGATCAATATCCATTTCATCAATAAGCCTGGTTGCTTTAACTCTAAAATATATCCAGAGTCTGTCTTTCATCACTTCTATTTTCACCACTCTGGTCTAAGTCATCATTATCCCTAACCTGGACTTCTGCAATGGCCTTCTAATTAATTTTCCCATTTTTATTCTTCTTTATAATCTTATCATAGTAGCTAAATTTGTCTTTTAAATATATGCAACAGATAATTTCACTGCCCTGCTTGAAATACTCTAACTTCTCAGTTTACTTAGAATCAAACCCAAACTCCTCACCTTGATTTGACCCCAGACCATCTCTCTAGCCTCATCTCTTACTACTTTTCCCTCACTTATACTACAGTTGCATTAACTAGCTTTCAGTTTTGACACCATGGCTAATTCATATACACATTAAGGACTTTGTACCTCTTGTTCCCTCTGCCTGGGATGCTATTACTGCAGATGTTTGTATGTCAGACTGGATCAAATGTTACATTCTCACCGAGGCCGTCATCACATGATCTAGCCAAATGAATCTCTGTCACATCACCCTATCTTTTTTTCTTAATATTTACCACTATTTAGTATATTGTTTACTAATTTGATTTGTTCATTCGTTCATTTTCTGTGGTCTTCACTAAAATACAAGCTCCTTGAGAGCAAGATCATTATCTTTCTCAATGAGGTATCCCTAATACTGAGAAAAAGTGCCCAGTACATGGGAGGCCCTCTATGAATATTAGCTGAATCAATGAATGTTTAATGAACTAGAATGTATTGGACATCTCTTATATTATTGCCTATGTATTAGGCCATTCTTGCATTGCTATAAAAATATACATGAAACTGGGTAATTTATAAGAAAGAAGTTTGGTTGGCTTACAGTTATGCAGGCTAGATGATGCCACTAGCACAGCATCATCTGCTTCCAATCATGGGGAAGACAAAGAGGGAGCAGGTGCATTACTTGGTGAGAATGGGAACAAGAAAGAGAGAGTGTATGTGATGGGACGTGCCACATACTTTTAAATGACCAGATCTCATGAGAACTCAGAGCAAGAGCTCACTTATCACCAAGTAGATGGCCCAAGCCATTCACAAGGGATCCACCCTCATGATCCAAACTCCTCCCACCAGGCCCCACCTCCAACACTGAAGATTACAATTCAACATGAGATTTGGGTGGGATATGTAAACCATATCAACCTATATTGTCATAAACCCAAGGATTGAGTTTACAAGGAAACAGACTCTGAGATGGCATGTAGACTGTTCATTAGGAGTACTCTTAGGTTCAACACCTATGGGAGGGAGAGGAAAGAAGCAAAAATGGGCTGAGGGAGAAGGTGAGCTATAGTCCCAACAATAACTTTGGCCAACCCCACAGGGAGATCTGGAGATGTAAATGTCCTTCATGGCTTTCCCAAATTGGGCCAGTGGCTAGGCTCTTATATCACCTCATCTGTCAGTCATTGGATATGGGCTGCCCCAGGAAGAATCATGGCTTTAAACCAGGTGACTCTCTGTATTTGAGGTAATCTCTGAAGGAACTGATAGCTGAAGGATGTCTGTCAAAGTTTCTCCAGCAATTGGAGCATGTATTTCATTGGAGGGGGATCTGAGCCGTGCATCAAAATGTGTATCACAGTCTACCCCTTGTACCACTGATATCTAATTATTCAAACATGTTTTGGTTGCAGGTCCTCCAGAATTCTATGGACCTCTTTTCCTGGGGGAAGCTTAGAGAAGGAACATTAGCGGGGGAAGAATTACCACACTCAAAGCTGCAGGTGGTTTTAAGGCTGCAACTGATGTTTATTATCTTCCTCCTCCACTATTAATTCTGGATTGTGACTCACACTTTTGATCCTGAGGGGATAACTTGGTGATGTCTCAATGTGTTCACTATTAGTATATTCTTTCTGAGCACTGTAGACCTTTTTAAATTGTGATGAAGTACCTCAGTGGTTAGCTCAAGGCTTGCTTGCCCTTTATCAGGCAGAGGAAAACCATTTCAAAGTGTTTTCTTTACAATATGGCAGGAGGTACAGCCTTGGAATTGAAAAGCTAAATGTGTCATTGAAACAAATTGAAAGTTGATGAATTTTTTATGTAAATGTTTTCAGGTGCTGTAAGGAAACTGCCTACGGCTCCTTTCCCAGGATAATAAGGTAAGAAGAAAATATTCAAAGCCCTAACTGGCATGGTCAAAAATATGCAAAGCTTATTTAAGGCTTTATTTAAACCCCAAACTTAAGATAAATGGAATGCCTCAAAAAGACTATCAATCACATGTTTCTAAATTGTTAACATTTTACCATGCCTGGCCTCTAATTACTTTTTGCTATTTGAAAATTATGTCTCTCTTCCTAGCAGAAATATGCCCTATCTGTATTCGAAAATTAACTAGTGCATTCTTTGTTGATGTATAGATACCTTTTTCACTTGATTTCTGGGTGCTAGCATAATTAGGAACTTTATCTCAGTAATGGGAATAACTAAGGTGCTTAGTGAGTTTTGCTGTTAGAACCCAAAAGGAACAGCGGCCCCCATGACAGACTCAGAGTCACCTTAAGGCAGATTGTATCATAGCGTATATTACATGCACTTTCTTTGGGCAAAACACACTTTTTTAGTGTCTCCAATGTCTCCAAGGAAGTGTTCCAATGAGGACTTGGTTGCATTATGTCCCCCTTCTCAACCCACCCGACCTCACTACAGCTCACTAGACACCACAAGCCTGGATTTCAAAGTTCCTTGTTGATATTATTTTTTCTTCCCTTCCTTTACTCATTCATCTCCTCTTAATAAATAATAGTAATAGTAATTATAAATATTGAATGCCTACTGTGTGCAAGGCACTTTGCCAAGTGCCTATATTGAATCATTTAATTCTCCCAGCAACTTTGAAGTAGGTAGCAGTGTTATCCCCATTTCACAAATGGGTCAACTATGGTGCAGAAAGGTTATATAACTTACCTAAGTTTATTTATTCATTCATCAAATATGCATTGAATACTTCCTAATTTTCAGAAACCAATCCTAGGTGTTGGGGATATAGCAGTGCACAAAGCAGAAGACAGTGCTCTCATGCCCTCATTTAGGTTGCATTCTGGAGTGAGATAATAAACAGAACAGTAAATTTATTTGAAAGAATATAATTGACAGAAAGCATATTGAAGGCTGGGATTGAGGGCATAGTTACTGTATTAAATAACACCAGTATAGGCCTTATTGATAGTTATAATTGACTAAAACATTAAGGAATAGAGAAGAGAACCTTTGTGAATACACAGGTAAGAGTTCCAGATATAGGGAACAAAAAGTAAAAAGATACTGAGGTGGAATCATGCTCAACATACTTTAAGGAAGAACAAGGAGCTACCATAAACTGGGGTGAACCAGTAGGAGATGAGATCATATGGGGGAAGGAAGGGCTCTTTGCAAGCCATTTCAGGATTTTAGCTTTTACTGTGAGTGAGAAAGTCATTGGAGAGTTTAGAGCTGAGGAAGGGCATGATCTGACTTATGTTTTAATAGGATCTCTAAGGAGTCAAAGATGGTACCAAAGTTTTTGACCTGAGCAATCAGAATAGGGTTTCCAGCAACTGGCATGGGGAGATGATTAGAGAAACAGGCAGGTTTGGGAGGAAAGGGCTGGAGTTTGGTTTGGGATGTATTAGGTTTTAGGGGCCCATTAGCCAAATGGGAATTGTTAAGGGACCAGCTTCATATATATATAGCTGGAGTTCAGGGGAGGTGCACTGGCTGGAATAATAAATTTCGGAGACATCAGTGATTGGATATTTAAAGTTGTGAGATTCAGTGAGATCAGCAAGAGAGTGTTAGGAGAGGAGACAAAATTTCAGAATGGAGCTCAGGGCCCACCCAAGCATGTTGAAGCTGGGAAGAGTCAAAATGGGAAAGTAAGAGGGAGAAGTCCATGAGGTAGGAGTAAATCTAGGCAAGTGTATTGACCTGGAATCTAGATGAAGAATGTATTTCAAATTGGGGAAAGAAAATGGTAAATACTGCTGATAGTCAAATAAAGTGAGAACTGACAATTTACATTGCATTTGGCAAAGCCGTTCTTCACCTTGACAAGAGTGGTTTTGTGAAATGGTTATGCAAAAAACTTGACTGAAGAAGTCTTAAGAGAATTCAGACAAGAAAGAAGTGGTATGGACTCAGTGGTATATGTCACTTGCTACCAAATAAGATGAGAATCATTATCTTAAAGTTTTATTAATGGTGGAAATTTCAGACACCACAAAATCCAGTCTGAGAATGTTCCCAGGATTTCACAAGATATACCATATAGCCTTTGGAAAACAATATGGAAATGTTTAGAAGGTTGAATATGGTGACAAATTATAGTTTTTCCCAGTAGCATTTTAAAATCAATTTTTGCTTTTTTTGGATTGCTCCCTTAGCTGTGTGTGTGTGTGTGTGTGTGTGTGTGTGTGTGTGAGAGAGAGAGAGAGAGAGAGAGAGAGAGAGAGAGAGAGAGAGAGAGAGAGAGAGAGAGAGAGAGGGAGAGGGAGAGAGGGAGAGTGGGAGAGTGAGAGAGAGGGAAGGGGAGGATTGGGGAGAGAGAGAAGAGGAAGAGGAGAGAGAGAATGTCTCAGTCCTTCAGGCTTAGGTAAGGCACATAATCTGGTTGGGGACAGTTGAGTTTTGGTCACATAAGTCACATTATCTTTTCTGCTATGCTGACTGCTTTCTTTCATGTAATTTCATTTGTGTATGTTGGGTCTTCCAAAGTAGTTTAAAAACAGCTCTAGCCTAAGGGCCAAGACTTCTTCTTTTATGTAGGAAGGGCTTAGTAAATGCTTCTTTTTCAGCTAAAGGATGACTTGCCATTGAAAAGAGGTTGTACTCCCTCTAAACACATTTGGGGTATAATATTTTGTCATGGTTGTCATAGGTTATCTTTGTTTCACATTTCAATTGTAACAAAAATTTTGTGATGTTTATATAGTTACAAAAAAAAGATGGAATTTCTGTTTTATAATTACATAATGGATTTATGTAATATTGTACTTCATTGGGTTTAATCTTTTGGATTGCTATGAAGTTGTGTGTTTCTGTAGGTTCATGGAGTGTTTCACTGTGATGTCGAGCTGTTGGGTAGGGATGATTTGTGCTTCTGACCTTCCTGATGCTCTGCTGCAGTCTCCAAACAAAATCCCAATCAGTACATGTTTTTAATGTATCTAAATGCCACAGCCAGACTTTGATTCCCAGTTTATGTCAATGAATGTGGGTTATTCTGATATATGTGCTCCAGCAAGTAATGGAATGTCAATCTCAGCAGATGCCAATTAGAAATTCCCAGGCCAAGAAGGCTCTAAGGCATCCAATCCTGCCTAATATAAAATTGTAATCTGTTAGATGGGCCAGCCAAGTTTAAGAGCTATATATTTATTTAGAAATGCCTTCTCAGTACCAGAAGGCCACTTCAAGAAAGGTAATTGAGAAACTCCTGAGATGAACAGAGAGCAATCCACACTGCTTTTGAAAGTGGAATTAGTTATATGACCCCTAGAGTCTCCAGAAGATAGTACTAACAAAAATATTGCTGTCTTTAAACTTACTGTCTTGAAAATTATTGCTCACCAGAACTGGTTTTATTCAAAACAGGAGTTTAGGGAAACCAGGAAAGATTAACCCCTTGCTTCCCAAACATCTCCCTGATGGTTCATTTGGTGCCCAAATTTCTGTCATTTTTAGGCATAACTTGGATGGTTGGAGTATTGCTGCTTTTGGGGAATTTAGTTTACTATGTAAATAGACCTGCAAGAAATGCTTTACAATATGATTAGTCATTGGTGCCTTTGCATGGAAGATTTTGTTATTTTGCTGTTTTTAATCAGAAATATATTTTTTAAAACAGACATAGGAAATCAGAGGAAATGTGACACTCAATAGGGACTTGTTTTGGAACAAGCAGAATATGTCTTGCTGCATTTTTTTCAGGGAGCCCAGGTGTTCATATTTCTTGGCAATGGCAGCACAGGCAACACCAGCATAGGATAGTAGAAACAGCACTCGACTGTGAGCTGAGAACTTAGGTTTAATTTCTATCTCTACCACGAATCTTTTTGATGATCTTAAGCAAAGCCTTTCTTTTCCCTGAGATTCGGCATCCTTATTGAAAAATGAGGGAATTTGGACTAGATATTCTCATACTTTAAGGTGAATAAGATCTATTCAAGAGTGTGTTAAAATTTCAGATTTTTTGTCATCTTCCATTTCCTTATCCTTTGATTTACTCAGTTTAGATGAAGCCCAGGTAGCTTTATAGTAAGAAGCACCTCAAAGGATCCATATAGCTTAAGTATCATTCTTCGAGAAACTGGATTAGATGATTTCTAAAGCCTTTTCCAGCTGTAAAATTTCCTTCTTTCTGGTAGTTGTATTTCTGTTTTGAATGAGAAGCAACCATTTTTGTATTTTTATTATTCCTGCTCTCTTCCTTTCTTTGTTCCGTCTTCTGTCTTTCTCATGCCACCTTCACTCCTTGCGTACTGTTTCATCTACAAAATAACAGTTGGGTTCAGTGGGGCTGGGAACAGTTCAGACAGTCTTGACCCTGAAAGTACTTTGTGGGATCCCTGTAAGTACAGGGCAAGAGATAAAAACAGCTAAGCTCCAGTCCCTGGTCTTGGTTGGAGATAGGTCGTATGCTGCTCCTAGTGATACATGACATGTGGGATGTGTGTTTTAATGGAGATAGAAACTGCAGGGTAGTCACAGAGGAGTACAGGAAAGAGAGTAAGGGACTTTTGATGGGTAAGTATGAAACATACTCTTTTGTTCATCACTTCACTTGTGACCTATTGGAAACCATTATCAATTGCAAGAGCTAAAAGAATGCAAGGAAAAATGCTGTTCAAATGAAACTTTAAGGTGGCTATTTAAAACCAATTGTAGATACAGTTGTTCTCAACCTACTGCACATAGAATCCCCTGGGAAGTATAAAAGAATAACAGTGCCTAAACTGCACCACCAAATAATTAAATTCAAGTCTCTGAGGGTGAGTGTGAGCATTGGCTTCTTTTGAAATATCCCAGGGGATTTCAATGGACAGCCAAGTTTGAGAACCACTGCTATAGAAGGTTACTTGTGTAAGTGAGAAGAATACTTAAATACTTGGTTTTCTGGCAA